TGGCTGCTGGTTCAATGGCTGCTGGGTTCCCCACTGCGCTCGTGGCCCCCCCAGTTGCTGCTGGCCCCATCCTGACTGCTGATTCAAGAGCTGCTGAGCTCCCCACTGTCAGTGTGGCACCCCGAGTTGCAGCTGGCCCCACCCTGGCTGTTGCCGTATGCCCAGGGGTTGCACATTCGGGGCTGTGGCCATCCCCCCTGCTGTGGTTGCAATACCAGTAGTACTGGCCTCTCGAGTTGTTGGAGGTCTTCCAAAGGTTGCTGCCTGGGTGGGGGCTGGTGCTGTCTTTTCTGTTTTTGGCCTGCGGGGGCTGGTGGCGCCCTCTGCTGCTGCAGGCCCCTCAATGGTTGCTGTGTGAGTGGGGGTTGCAGTGGTCTTCTCTGCTGTTGGACTGCAGGGGCTGGTGGCGCCCTCTGCTGCTGTAGGCCCCTCAATGGTTGCTGGATGAGTGGGGGTTGTTGCTGCACCTCCCTCATTTGCGGGCCCACCAGCTGTTGCTCTCCTGGCTTCTGCACCACCCCAAGCTGTTGCAAGGCCTCTATTACCTGGTGCAAGCTCAGAGGTTGCTGACCTTCCACCTGCGGGGTCTGCTAAATTCCCCATTGCTGCAGGGGGCCCAGGCTGGGGTTCCCTCTCTCTGTGGGGCTGGAGGCCCTGGGAGGAGACTCCAGGGTCTGGAAGGCTGTTTGATCTGTGAGGGAGGGGCTGGAGGCCTCTCTCAGCAGGAGTTGCTCTCCGCTTCTCACTTCTAACTCTTCAAATCTTTCTGCCAAATATTCTACTGACCAACTACGAGCTGCAGACAGATATTTCCACTCACCCGAGTCTTTGGTGGCAGACGGCCTGGCAGCTCTCCATCGATCTGGGGGATGCAATATGCAAGAATCCTTTTGTTGTAGCTCCACCTCATCTGCTTTTGTAGCCCTTGAGGGTGGCAAGGCTGTTTCAAAGCCTCTGGAGTCTCCACTGGGCTTATCCCAGTCTGACAACCAAATCAGCTCTCCTAGCTGTTTTGGTCTTGCTCCCAGCTGGGAGATCTGCAAGAGTTCCTTCTCCACCGGCTTGCTGGCTGTCGCTCCCCCCCTGGGGAAGCTGCTGCTGCCGGGGTGCTGGCCTCAGGCAATTTTTCTTCTTCCATGATGAGATCTTCCCCGAATCTTCGTCAGCCTATTCCTTTAATTTAGGAACAGCGACTGGGGCCCGGGACCCCTAAATGGTTTGAAAAGTTTGTAGATTTTGGCTTGATGTCATGGTTCCGAAAGAAGAAGCTCTTCAAAGAACTTTGAGGCATTGTTTACCTTAAAGAATCTTTAATTGCAACATAGCTTCGGCACGTACATAAGAGGAGCCAAAATCTGAATTCTCCTCCCCCAAACACACAGTATCTAAGCATAATTCACTCCTCCATTTAACAGTCATTAATCACATTCTCCAATTAGTTTGAAGTGCGAACTTTCCCTCCCGTTCCATAACCCGCCATTTCTTATCTCCTCTTATTACAACCAACCTTGAAGAATACTCTACTGAGATATTCTTATGGCTAACTAGTCCCCATGCACATTCTTCCCCCTCCCCTCCAGCACCATCTAATTCTAACTCTAAAAGTAATACACAGGTTAAATAGAAAATATCTGCATCTTCATATATTGTAAAGCAAGAACATCCGATGTTAGCAGCGTTGACACCTTTAAAGATTCCTCTTTACCAAGAAATTCTATGTGTCAATGGAGATTCTCAGTCATCCAGGTCATAGTTGTCCCAAAGGTGCTTTTTCAAAAGGCAACTGGACTTTGTTTTTCCTTGAAGATGTTTTGCTTCTCATCCAAGAAACGTCTTCAACAAAGTCCAGTTCCTTTTGAAAATCACCTTTGAGACAAGAAATTTGATGGTTTCCTTTTTGTTATCTATTTTCAGCTTTGCCTCCTTGTTTTTTACTGGAGACATTTTTCCCTTTTAGAAAAGATGAAGTGTTCACCTTCTCAGGCATGGGATAATTTAACCAACAGAAACCAGCCATGCACAAACAAATAAATGAACCACCCAGCTTAGATACAAATTTGCACGGGGCTTATGGAAAAAGAATGAGGAAGTGAGGCCTTGCATTCTGGGAAACCTTAGCTGGCATTGCATTATCTAATGGCCGTGCATTCTTGCTCCAGAAATTGTGTAATACTATGACACTAAAGCATTGAGGTCTTCTTTAAAATTATCTGCTAGAGGCAGTTAGGAAGCTAGCGAATTCCAAGCGGCCATCTAAAGAATAATATTTTGGGGAAACTGAACAAAAGATGCTTCCTTATATTATTTTGGTGCATGCAGTTTTGCTGACCATGAAAAGCAAGGAGGTGAGGAGAGAGAATGATTACACCATGTAGTATGAACCAGTGAATAGCTGTAGTAGAATGTAGAAAGTCCAAGAAAATGGGAACAACCACTAGCAAGCCACATTTTAAAGGTGCAAGACACAGAAAAAACTATTAAGAGGAAGTGGACTGCAAATGAAGTAGTAACGGGGAACAAATGAAGTTCCCTTCTTACGTTCAACTCCTGCCTTTCTACACAATGGAAGTTGTAACACTTCCATGGAGGCCTTTTACAGGGAATACATACAGCTGCACCATGCATTCAATTCCTGGCCTAGGCCTTTGCTGGTCAAGAGTCATAAAACCATGAGTTATGGAAATTGTACATATACAGTAACTGGACATCCTCTCATTTACTGTATAAGAGACTCTAAGGCAGGGGTGGCGAACCTATGGCACGCGTGCCACAGGTGGCACGCGGAGCCGTCCCTGTGGGCACACGCGCCATCGCCCTGGAAGGAGGCGGGGCCAGGCTCCTCCCCTCCGCCTCTCCACGTGAAGCTGCTGGGCACCGTCCGTAACCTAAGTCAGGAAGCTTCCGATGGGGCTCCATTCTCCGCTCAGAGCAAGGCTGCGGGCCAAGGACCATGTGGTGAAAAGAAGGTTAGAGTCGAGGAAGTGGTTGGACTTATCTGCTACACGTGCACCTTACAGGGAGGGGGAAATCTGCGCCTCCAAAGGGAAAAAAAGAAAGAAAAACCTCCAACTTGGCGGAAGGCAGGAGGGAGAAGGGAATGTGCCGCAGCAAGCTTGCTTCGCAAAAAGGCAGATACTCCTTTCTGGGTTTTTTCCCACCCCCCTCCGAAGTCATTTGCCACTTAGAGGTGACCCTCTCTCGGGCTATGATGGACAAGTTGTAGCTCGAATTT